GGTTTTTTGGACAATGGCCAAATTATAGGACCAATTTTGAATTTTTGCCTGTGATTAATGTAATTTACATTAAATACTTAATGAAAATATTTTCATACTTAATCTTGTTACACATAGCATGAGTGACATTGTTCAAGCCAAATTGAGTTGAAGATGTATATTTTCGACCTCATGCTCATTTAATAAACGTGAATGTATAACTCGCGCGACTAATTTAATAAATTAAACTCGAGTTTCACGAACAGAATTAAGTATTGTTCGCCGATAGAATATTGTTCCGACCGAAAGCTCTACCTAACATATAGCAGCCCTATGTACTAAAAATTGCTGGCATTGTAACCAACATTCTGCATGCAGACACCCATTACCCATTAAGTTTCAATAGTGGCGATGCATTTAGTGGTGACAACTCTTTCCGTCCTAGCTTATGCTCGAAACAACTCTTTAATCAATCCATGTTCATTATTAGTGGTGACAACCATTTCGGAATTTCATCTTGTAAATAATGTGGTCGCCTTCTCCATGAAATTATGTATATTATGAGAAGTGTATTCCAATCCAATGGTTAGCTCAACCTAACATATGACTTTTTTTTTTTTTTTTTTTATTATTTCTCATGGTGGTACTATAAATTTTAAGATCGTGTGGTCTTTCACTCGTACTATATTAATTTTCTGACACATCAATTGATGGATGGATACATATATTTACCCGTGTCCACTGAAAGGGGACGATAAATTATATAACTTATCTCGTGGTATTTTAATCATGTACTCACCGTGTATGCATATTAATCTTCTGAACATCGATCAACTAATGAATACTATATTAACTCGTGTCCAATGAAAGGAGCCGATAAACTATATAACTTATATTGTGTTTTTTCAATCATATACTCATTGTGTATGAGATATATTTTAATCTCCTAACACATCACATCAACTGATAGATATCTTAACCCATGTCACCGAGAGAGGGCCGATAAATTATATAACTTGATGCAAGTATGTAGGTAATCGTTTTTCCAATCCCAATACTTTGAAACATAAATATCAAAATATTGCATTTTTATTTTCATATATCTATGGTACTATAACAATTAAGAATTACATCAATGTATCAATTCAAATTAAATTGCCAAGATTGTTATTAATCCCTATTGTTATGTTGATTTTCGAACCAGATGCGGACCCTCTAAGGCACTACTGACCCAAAGACGTTAGGACCCGAATCAAATAGTACGGTTGAGTGGTTAAAACTGTGGGCCCCGAAAACGCTACTGACCCAAAGACATTTAGGACCCAAACTGAGATGTACAGTTGAGTGGTTAGAGTTCTTGAACCGAGTAGAGATGAAAACGGATACCAAATAGTCCACAAATGCCGAACAATGTTTGATACGCCAAATCTAATAAATAGTAAAATAATCGTCACTTGTGTGCCCAAATGAGTACGTACAAGACAATTAACCGTTCATATGTCGGTATACGTGTCATCTCCCCACTGTCCATCTGTTACGGAGATCACCGCCACATTTAATGCGCTTGTACTTACCAATAATGAATATAGTTGTTCTACACACAAAGATTAACTTGTACTACATAGTGAATAATATCAAATAGTTGTACCAGTTTTGCTATGAAGCCAACAATTAGCTCCATGGTTAAGTCGATCTTCTATATACAACAAGTAAACCTGTTATATTCTCTGATTACTTAAATAACACTAATAGTTGAACTGCGTAACGGATAGTAAAAATAGGCTTAATTTTTTTTTTTAATTATTATAAAGGGTAATTAATCCCTGATAAATATTCCCTCTCAATAAATACTACACCTTTGATTTTTTTTTTTTTTTTCTCCAATTGTATCACAATTAAGAATTACCTCAGTGTATCGATTCAAACTAAACTGGGCGAGATTGTTATCTGTCCCAATCCCAAATTTCTTATCTTTCTAATACAAAGAACTTTGAAAGATTGCATTTTTATTCCACCAAATGCATTACTTTACTCCAAATGGATTAGACTAAACCAAGACTCAAGCATGGACCGTTGCAAATACTCCACACTTTTTGACTTTTAGCTCACTCTCTTGCCTTGTAAGCATACTAAAAGCAAAAACAATGGGATTTTAGTGGACATTTGCCTTATATCTCCCATTTATTTAATCCCCCACTCTCCATTGTGTGGTGTGGGGAGTTCTTGAGATCCCACACGAACCCAAAAACCAAAAAAAAATCCAATCTTTTTCGATGGCCAACGTGAGAATAACTCTATTGTTCAACTATTTGTCACTCATTCTCGCTATTCAAACTGCATCGACTCTCAAGCCGGCCTTGTCCGCACCTGAAGCTGCTCTTATAAAAGGTCTTCCTGGTTTTAATGGCAGTTTTCCTTCCAAGCACTACTCGGGGTAAGAATAAAAAGATTCTGGTTAATTTGTTTGTTTCTTTTGATAATCCTTTGATTTTGGGATGTGTTTTTCTTGTTCTGGGCAAAAGGGTTTTTTTTTTTTTTT